AGGTGGCAAGTATGAATAAATAAAAATAAAAGGGGGCAAATAGCGTGAGTCAGCCTTCCTTGGCGGCATTATTAGATAGTGAGGTCCTGATCCCTTGTTATCACCTCATGGCATCGTCCCCAAGGTCGTCCTAGGCGTCGTCCTTGAGGTCATCTTAGATGTCCTTTAGAGGCGTCCTCTAGGCATTGTCCAAGACATCATAAAAATGACAGCTTCGCTGGTCCTCCAATTTCACGTGAAGTGGAGGGAGGACCAGCGACAATTTTTGTCGCTGGTCCACAATTTCCGCTCCACAATTTTTTGCTTGAAAGATGACTTTTATTAAAGGGGTGCAGAAACGAAAATTGAAATATACAAATTTTGTTCGGTAATGAGTCAAGCATAACGGATAGTAACCGTAAATGATAATCGGACGTTTGTATTTTGAATGATTGGCTATATTTTTCGTTCCAAACGATGTGCTCAAGCAAGAAGGATGCAACATGAAATAATGAAAAAAAAGTTTTCTGCATTTGTGCAGTGCTGTCGGTGGCGAGTGTGTGGCTGGTCCAACAAGCACTGATCTTCCACAACACCGTCAGGTTGGGGGGTGGATGTGGTGGGGAAAGCAGGCTAATCTTCTAGGGGGAGAACGGCTGTATGTATCCGGGTGCACAAACGAGGGTCCGAGAAAGAGGGGAGTCCCTCCTTTCAGTCTTCTTGGACTGTTTGGTACAATGCACGAGTTGAGGAAAGCCAAGAAGAAAAAGTTGAAAGATTGTTTCATGACCGGTTTAAACAGTGAGCGTACTTCCGAAAGGCGGCGCTGCTTGGATGTTTAGTGCGACCACTGATCAGTGCGACACTTGCTACGTAATGAGCTACATAGCAAGATCCCCAACGTTGCTAGATTCATAGAGTTATTATAATGTACGCTAGAGGTTCAACTGGCGCTAGTGTGCTGCTGCAAATTGAAGCAGACAGCAACCAGTCCGAAATTGACTTCCGGTCATGCATTTCTATGGGAAAAAGCGAGTGCATTTTCTCTCTGCGCTCGATTATAAGAGCAGATATCACGAATATTTTGTACGTACAAGGCACATTGGAACATTTCTCAGTCACGCAGACGAAATAACTGGTCAGCTCAGCATTTTTATTTGAAATTCGTGGAATGAAAAACGGTGTTAAAACCGCTTCGTACGTGTATTTATGTGCACTGTCGGACACTGTTAGCGCGAACACGGCGTCGGCGCTTTACGCCATGGGGGATATACGTGCCCAAACGAACGAATTACATGTGAAAAACCAAGAGAGACGGCAAGAACTACGCAGTAACACTGGATAAATAACTCCTTATGCATGCAGACGATCAAAATAAATTGAAAGCCACGTAATATACTAGTAGTCAGATATGCAATAAATAAGTACTGCTTTATTCTTTCTGCTCGTGAATATGTGCGAAGATGCTTGTTCTGGGTTCAAATCATCAGCCGCACGCTCCAAATCTTTGCAAATAGGGAGCAGTCAGAGAATAGGTGCCCGATAAAAACTGCCCGACATAGGAAATAATAAAAAAGCACACCTTTCGTAGTCCACGTACTTTATTTCTTACATTCAAATGTTTTTTAACCGTCTTAAAGAAGCACGATGGAGTCATTTTCATAGAGTGACAGGACGGGCATATTAGCAATATATAAGCGCCCCCGCAATGCTAGCGAACCTTGAATACACTCTACATTCTTTTCGATCGTTAGTTTGCTTAGAATCGTCGCTCGTTTTTACATACCTGCCATGGAACATAGGTTTGGGCCTGAAATATAGCGAAGCTTAACATCGTTCAGTGATAAAGAAAAATGCTGTAATTAAAGCAATTACTCTTTTTACAATATTAATAAAGGTACATACTATCCGGTACAACCGAAATGATAAAAGTTATTCATGTTATTTTCCGGCGAGGAGACAAATTTCACGCGCGTTTTCCCATAGGAATGCACAGGAGCACCGCAAAAGTAGACTGGTTGCTGTCTGCTTCAATTTGCCTCCCGGAAGTCGCATAGACACTAGCGCCAGTTGAACCTCTAGCGTACATTATAATAACTCTATGGCTAGATTACGTATTAACTAGTACTTCCCATGCATCCACCAGGTGCACATTGAGAGATCGTTGAGTTAGCTTTAAATTTAGTTTTCTTCTAAAAATAAAAAAAAAATTTAGATGTGTTTACAAATCTCCAATGCGAAATTAGAGTGCAGCTCTCGAGGTATTTTGATTTTGCGGTATACTGTGCTAAAGAATTTAAAGGAAGAAATGTCTATATGTACAAATATAAACCTCATACTCTTGCGCTCCTGCGTAGATAACATAAATTGTACATATATACCATATATATAATAGGAGGGGAGGGTATGGAGGACCCTCCCTCCGGTTACAGCGACGCTGCAACAAACTGGAACGAGTGCCTAAAGCCCGGTTCAGACACTTATGTTTGACTGCGTTCCGTCGAAAACCGAAAGCGAGTCACCGGCACATCTGTACTTTGTATGAAGCCTAGAATCCAATTCAAGGAATCATCTTGGCACGCGATATAAGCAGCAGGGATGTTCTGGTTTCTCGAAGCCACAACGCAGTCAAACGTAACTGCCTGAACCAGGCTTTAGAACAGCGCTCAAAAAAGCCCTTGTCAGTTCTGTTCATGATGATGAATAAAGAACAATGGTGCTTGCATAGAGTTAAATGTTCAGCCTGATCTCTGCTCAGCTCGTATTGAAAACAAGCGCGGCATCAGCATTCGGCGAGGACTAAATTGCACACTTCACGAGCAATGGATGGATGGATATTGGCTGTTCCCTTTACACCGGGCGGTAGCTTGCGCCACCTAGCCTTAAATGAAACAGCAATGATGGCCATTAATGTTACTCGATGGACATTTGAACAGGGTCTATTGTGCGGCATTTAGGCTGCTCGACTGCACTTGATTTTTTACGCCTCTATAAATATATTTGTACAGAGTTGTATATAGTATATATGCTATATCGTATTTCGACTGCACTCGTTGCGTGCTGCTCCACATAACAATAGCTTAGCAAGAGCAGCCAATGACTGGAGATCCTACATATTTTCCAGTTAAAGCATTTTGGTCAAATTAGGGTCCCCCAGAACCCGGTTATTTGACGTGTACTGTCATAGCCTCCTTTATACTGAAAACGCCTGCCCAATGGTGTCTTTGTCGTCGTCCTGCTTACTTCACAGATTTGCTACTAGGGGCACCAAAACCCCATACAGAAATGCAGACGACGCTTGTCCGCTGCCTGCGGCTACAGTTCACTGAAGCTAGCGTAAGCTACGTTATCCGTTAAGCTACGTTTTAATGTAAGTTTCCTATGCTAAGTTACGCTATAACGTGACCTTGCGTGATCAAATAGGTCACTTGATCACGTAATTTTTTTTGCGACACGAGTAACTGCTTTCGGTCGTCGTTCGGCCGGCAGATAGAGCGCTTAGCGATTGCCGGCATAGCTCAAAAGCACGAGGCTGTCTGCGGCTCGTGGCACGCACACCGCGACGCCACACATACACGCGTGGTCATTTCCTTTCATTTATTGATCGTGGGCACAGCAGCACCTTGTACTTAGTCCCGACACCTTGTGCTGCATTCTAACTCGCATGATACCTTACTGTTGTGTGCCTATGTGCAACTCGGACTCGCGAGTTGCACTTCCTATTGGTCATTAAGCAGGCTTTTATGGCTCCTTGTAATTCCCTCCTTGGGCACCAGGACTGGGGAGGACTATACTATCCATCAGAGAAGCTAGTGAGGGTGTTGTGTGCGCTGGAAGAACTTCGTAGAGATTTTACAGAAAAAACGAAATATGCTGAAATATGCATGCAGCTGGTGATACTGCGGTGGATACACTTATACACCATGGCGCTCTAAAATACGCAAAGGTAGAGAAAGATGTCAACCATTACGAAGATTTCCTGCAACTAGGTATTAGGTATTTCAGACCAATTTTTACAAACTACTCGGCATCCCCGACTGACAAGCATAACCCCAAGAAGATCTTCGCCAGCAACCCACTATCTACGAAGTCGTTAAAACTCTAGAACTGCATACGTGAAAAACAGTGCGGACCACAAGAGACCGGTCAAAAACATCAAGGGGCTGTGCGCTTAAAAAACAAATTGAAAATGTATATCAAGATCCCCGGTCAGAGTGCTGCCGACGGGTGCGCAAGTTTTCGGTCAGCGGGGACGCGTTCGCTGTCCTGAGAAAAACCACTTGACTGCCGCATGTGGTCCGCGGGCCGTGTGTTTTGCGGCTCTACTCCAGTAGCAATAAAAACGCTAAGTGGTCGCTGTATCAACGTTTTGGAAGTCCGCCAGCCTGTCTGTCTCCTTCTTAATTGGCTTTGACTATTTCTGTTGTCGATATGACAAGCACCAGAGGTCTGGTAACATTTCAGCATAGAAACAAAACCAAGACGTGAAAGCTAAAAGAGAGGTATAAGACTTCTTTTATATATGAAATTTATATTGACGGTGCGCTGCGCCTGCTATGTAGCACGGGTTACGAAGGTATTCAATTCACAAATGGCATCACAGTGGACTGGCAGCGGGAAGCGAAGAAGAGTCTGCATTTTTGTATGGGGTTTTGGCGCCTTTAGTTGCAAATATGTGAAGCAGACGCAACGACGACGAAGCATGGGGAAGCCAACCACTGGGCAGGCATTATCAATATAAAGGAGGCTATGGTACTGTATTCCCATGCACAGTAACTAGCTGCACTTCAAGGGAGACATTTTTGGTTCCAAGGGCTCAGTACTGCACGAAAGGCATGATGCGCCAACAGCCTGTCGATGGCTCGGCTCGGAAAACGAGTCGCCATACAGGTGGAGCAGCGAACCATTTGCACAACCGTACCCTTGTTCGTAATAGATGTCTGCCTGCACGCTGTCTGCGGTGGGTAGCGCAAATACACGCTCAACATGAAGGCGCGTAGAGTCCACTCGCAGGCAACATCGACCATTTCACGTGTCGTTTTATTCTCGGAACCTTCAGTTCAAAGCAGCAGACGTTCATGGAGACGCCCTCCCTCCCCAAGAAAAGGAACACTGTTCCCAAGACTTGACCAAAACTAAAACAACAGAACAAAGAACAGGAGTCCGCCGAAAGCGGGCCGAAAATGCTCGTGACAACAGCGCAGAGCGAGACCCCTCTAGCGGGCGCGTTTCCCCCCCCCCCCCCCCCCTTTCCCCAGAGTTCTTAGGTTCTGTCCGGCCCCCCCCCTCGACAGACGACGCAGGAGATGGGCTAGACGCCTTCTGCCTTCGAGGGCTCGTCAAAGTTCTCCACGAGGTCCGGGACTTCGTCATCGTCGTCGTCTCCCGCTCCGGTTCCGGCTCCACCGCTCTGTTCCGAGTGGCTCACTGCGTCGAACACACGAAAACAAATGCTGATTTGTACTTGGCAATTAAAAATTTTTGTGGAATAATTGCATCAAAGTAGATCGGAAGACCAAGCAAGTCTTCCTTCTGTCAATACACCCTTTTCAAAAGTCCTGAGCACTTGGTGTGAAGTCTGATTCTATCACAGACTTCATGCAGGAAGCAATGCCCAAAGTATGATCGCTACCAGTGTTGCCTGTTGGACTTGTCAAAATTTGACAGCCTACAAGAATTCTACAAGCAACTAACAATGCTAGATATAAGGTATCCATCCACTCAGCACTACAAGCACTGTCAATACTTCCAAGTAAATACCACCCAAACCCACATAAATAAATTTCCACCAACCCCAGCTTTGGTTTTAATACCGTACGCTGATACGAATGATCACTGGCTCTCATGGAGGACCAAAGATGTCTTCACGCAGTCTCTGCATCAGGTTCACTGAGAGGGCCCTAAAAGAACTTCGAACTCAAAAGTGAAGAGTCTGCTCGCAGCAATACGCGGCACGGCACGCTAACAGAGCGCAGTTGTTCGCAGGACACAGGTGAACACTGGACTTTGGGTCGGGACGGAGGTGCGGAAGAAACTGGAGTGGCAGGACTGTCTTTGACGTCACTGCACTGGTGCGGATCGCTAAGGAACTAAAAATTCGGCTTTTGTAAATTGATCTTTTACTTCACAAATACCGAGTTCCAAAAAGTTTAAAACTTTGAGGGTAGTGACCAGGCATCATTTTCAGTTTCAGATAATGCAAAATAATATGATTTTGACCTGCCATTCCCTATTAAGCACGTGGGTCCCTGTGGCCCACTGAAACAGGTCGGCGCAAGGATGCCTGGAAGTAATCCGAGGACGGACAGTCAATCGAAGCTGTACCCACCGACGGCACTCTGTACACTGGCCAGCCTCTTGAGGTGGGTCAAGCTTTCAGCACCCAGCTGGTTCAGGATTCCGGGAAGCATCTCCGTGATTTCTGAAGAGACAGGCATACAAATGAGAAACCCTCTGGCTGTTTTTCCACAAAGGATTTTGGTCTTTCATTCACAGGGAAGTTTAACACCAGCTCGTCCCGTGACACATAGTTTACTGGCGATTCTCAGGTTTTCTGTATCAGTGAATGTCTGCTTTTAGGCACCAAGTCCTTTCAACTACCTCTAGCAAGAAGCTCTCGCCACTCGGACAGCTCAGAGCAGAATCGAAAACTTTGTGGAGCAGTGTTAAGGATGCTTAAAGCCCGCCCTACAAAAAGTTTCTCCACCAAGGTGAGAAAATCTTCCTCACCACCTCTCCCATTTGCCCCTCTCCCCCTGCTGTCTTGAAGGAGGGAGACAACTCCTAGTCCCCCTGCAGTCAAGTGAGGGAGAGGGGGAAATGAGAAGGCTGGCAAGGATTTTTCTACCTTGGGGAAAACGATTTTCCAGGTCGGTCTTTGAAATGTAAAGCTTCCAAAATCCAACTTTTATGAGAGAAAAATTCATGCCAGCACCAGAAAGTGTCTACCGTGGCTCCACTCTACCAAAGGTAGAAATAAAAAGTCATTCTAAATATACTAACAATTAACTTTTTGCATGCCATGCTCTCAAGGTGAAGAATATTCGAGAAACAGTGTCAAGATTGGTCTGATATTTTGTCACAAAGACTCGCTGGATAGCCCTTCGAAGACACAATCATGATTGGAGAGCCAACGTACGTTTCGTTTCGGCGTGTCCCGTGACTGCAAAAGTGTTGGCCGCCAACGATGCCTGCACCTTGGGGTTGTTGAAGTGGATCACAGAGCCGTCCTCTTTAATCATGTTTACCTGCAGATAGAATGTTAACAACCTCATATTAGTCATCCTGTAAAGAAAAGCTTAAAAAAAGAAGAAAGCACCCTCTCCTAAAGAACATGCAGTGCCAACCTTTTCTCGACACATTTAATATCTCAATACTCTAAACAATCGCATCATTTGATGGTGACGGACACATAGCGCAGCACTCCAAACCGCTAAATTTTGTGCTGGCAAAACATTTGCGACATCCGAACTCGGTAATACTTTTCGAATGTTGAGCTTGCAAAAGCGGAATCATTTGCATCGTAAACCCTCGTGTTTTACAGGAGTAAATATTCGGCAAGGTGCAAGGAGATGGAGCGACTACTTGCCTCTTCGATCCCTGGGATGTTATTTACAGTGAGCTTCTTGAGGGAGCTCTGAAGTTTCTTGTCGTCTGTTGTGGCTGTCCGGTGCACCACCTTTTTCTTTCGGCGAGCTGTACCCTGCGAAAGCCGGACATGAAAGCAACTCTTAAGAAAAAATGCCTCGAGATCGTACTTAATTCCAGTCATCACAAATTTCCAATAAAAAAACTTAACTACTTAAAATCGAAAGAATAAAACACGGAGGACAAGCACAGGACAACAACATTCTTTCATGAAAGAATGTGGTTGTCCTCCGTGGTTCATTCCTTCGATTTTATGCATTATTTTCAATTCGCTCGCCTTTACCAGTCCAACACTGAACCTCATTAAAAAAATATTTAGGCAAGCGAAAAAATAATGAAAAATTGACGCCGTGGTGTAAAGGAAAGAAATTTTAATTAAAACCGACATCGTAATGGTGAAAGAACTCGAAGTTCTCCGCGTTCAAATTCTCGGCGACTATTTCAGAATTAATCGGGTCATTAATTAGGGATAAAGGTATTAATCAGAGGCTACAGATGGATGACAGGGAAGTGCTGATCCTTAAAAGGGTAAAACCAGAGAGGTCACCTGACACCTCCGACAGCGTACATTTAGTGCGGCCTCAAAAAAATATGAACGCAAAAGATCTCCAAAAGCTACCTTAAGAAGGGAAATAACACAACGTTGCTACGGCGAAGCTCAGACTTTCGTTAAAAATGAAGGGAGACTCTGGAAAACTTGGATCAGCATCATGATTCATCGCACGCCGGCCACCCGCAGACACGTGAAGGCGAGCAAAAGCATCCCAAGAATTTCAAGGAGAGAACGCACCTTGCCGCCAATGCGAACTTGCGCCTGGAGCTTGTTTAACTTGTCGGCATTCATTCCTGAAATATGGAGAAGAGCGGACGGGCGCTTGAGTCAGTTCGTGCGCCGTAAAATACGAAAAATGTAAAAACTCCTTTGTGGAGTTCGCCGAGTCCGACGGGTCGGCAAACGCAGTAGGCAGGATGACGAGCACGCCAACGGTTGGTCTCAAACGCTCGAAGTTTAAGGTTTAAGAAATTGTTGGACAGCGTTGGTCGGTCTACGATCTTTGAGAATTCAAAGCCAGCTGTCCTCAGATCGATTGCACCAATATGCAAAGAGGCGAGCAGCGTGGTTAGGGTTAGACACGCACTTGTTTAGTGACGGGGTAGACTCCGTTCGTCAGCGATTCGCTCGCCATCGCGGAGTAGACTGTCCAGTGTTCGCATCGACTCGATGAACGCGGTGAAATTTGGGGGCTGCCGTTATCGCGGCTAGGCGAAAAGTTGTCCAACTCACCACTTTTTGCAGCAAAAGCCGGGCTGTGTCGGTGAAAATGGCCTCAGCACCGTAGAAAGAGGAACCTACTCTCGCACACGGGGGTGTGAGAGGTTCAAACATTTCGCGAAATCTGTGCCCAAAGATATGCTTTTGTAAAATTAAAAACTGGATACTTTTTATGGAAGTTTAATGTGCCATTATTTTTGTCACTGATTAATAATTTTAAAACCAGTCTTATACAGGTCATAAAGAGTGACTTCAGGTAACTCTTGTTTAGCTGGTGGAAAGCACGAACAACCACTGCGAACAACCCACAAAACGGGCGCCCATATTTGTTCATTGAGAGGTAAAAACCTAAATTAACGCTTTCCTAAAAAAAAAATTGACACACAAACATGGTTCGTTTTTACTAAAGTGTCTTAGAAATGTTTTTTATTATTTCAAAACCCGTGGTCACCCAGCACTTTTATTTTAGTCTTGTTTGACCGTTTTAAGGGGTTTTAAACGTTTTAAAGGAATGACGTCACGCCTATCAACTCCCAGCAGCAGGGCGCGAAATAACAGACAGACCCACTGAACCCGTGTGTAGCTTGGTGTAGCCAGTGTAGCTTTACTGATTTCACTGTTTTTAGTGCCGCGAATCCTGTTCCCTCACATCGTAGGCGAAGAATGGCCGAACCCGCTTCACCACCGAAACCTACCAGGTACGCAAACATCGACCGAGCTGCCTTTTTGATTCTCTGTCAGTTTCCCACGCTACATACACAGACAACGACAGCCAACCGGTCGCTCCGGCTCATGACGCTTACGCACATTTTCTGTCGGTTCTGCCTGTGTTTCGAACACCTTAAATCTCCCCCTTCTGTCATTTGAGAATTCTATGAAGTCTCTTTACTTGAGGAGTGTCTGGCGTTCTCAGCCTTTGAAGGCGAAATCTCGCGGTGCGCTTTGTTGCAACTCGTCAGCGTGCCTCGGCCAACGAACTCGTTCGTGTGGAGAAAGCTGTGGTCACTGGCAGGGTGAGAACGACAGGAAGGTCTCTCAGCTGACCCGCCTCCGGCGCACGATTCTTGCCTTTCGAGAACACTTGGGCGTCTCGTTAACTTCGAGCATGCAAGTGCAGCCAAACCACGAGCGTAGAGGCCGGGCATCCGAGAGACACGCAGTCCCGCCGTTCTAATCCTGCCGGTGACTACACATGAATGTGCCTTCGTTTAGAGGGAAGATAGGTGATGCTGACATTCGAGGCAAGCAAAGAACAATCTATTCAAGGCATGCAACTTCTTTAGCACCATTGTTTGTTTTGTTTTTTTCCTCTCCCTAAAACAGAATTTTTTAAAATTGATGCTGCAAGTTTGTACGCAATTTTTTTCTTCTCCTCGGTGAGGAGAAAAGGGTAGGTAAAGTATTTTTTTAAAGTGGTGGTGTCAATTTGAACTTTTTCAGCTAAACATGTTTTCTCAACGAGCCCAAGAAACTGAGTCTGGAACATGGAGTAAATTTCTCTAAAACTTTTAAATAACTTTTAACCTTAGAAACACGTTGAAACCGAGGCTAACCTCCAACTTTACTGGTCCGCCAATCTCGTCGTGACGTCATATGTCGTGTAAACATCAGCACATGTGCGGCTTGAGCCTGTTTTTGCCCAGCGTCTGAAGCAGTCTGAAGGCCGACCAGCAAACGTTTTAAGATTTTCAGCATGAGATTTCGGACGATTCGCCTCTATATTGGCCGTTCCCATTCAATCTGCCGGCATCACCTCCGAGGGAACCACCCGTGGCGGCCGCATTTGCGATCTGTCGACATGCGAACCTAGATGCCTCATCAGAAGCAAAATGGTATGGCAGGTTTCGTTCGCTAACATGGCGTGAACTATTTTCTAGCACGACGTGAACACTATTGAGCCAGCGTTCGTGTCAGGCTACTCGAACCCGCTTTCGTCGCAGCAACAGCTCAGTTAGAAACCGATAAATGTCACCCTGCTGCATTTCTTTGTGGTGTTATTGCACCCCACAGCACATCACCTGCTTCAAACAGCCCGAACCAGACGCAGTCCGCAGAACCATAAACGCTCGCTGCAGAACGACCTGGAGGAGGGAGCGTCGTCTGCTCTCCGATACAACATTTGACGTCGTGGATGGATGAGTGCTAGATGCAATAACCTCTATATCGGGCGATAGCATGTGCCACCTAGCCTAGAAACTAAGAACCAAAAGTATGACCCCTCCCTTTGCCCTTCTGAGCCAATTTGCTACCCCTCTGCAATTTTGCAATTATCACCAGGTGATGTGGGATATCACCAGGATGACTGTTGCAAATGCCCCTGCTCATTGTTGCCAGTATAGTGGCAGCAAGCAATTCGGAGGTGTGCGCGTAAGCATCAAACTTTATTGTCTCTAAAAAAAATACATGTTTTAATTAGATATCTTGTAGACATAATCAGGGGTGGATATTTAATCCATGGTGAAAATATTACAAAAATCAGCAACAAAATTAAAAAAAAAACAAAAAAAACTGCTTTATAGTTTTAGGGCAGTGAACAGGAGGCACCTTGACCATCTGCTATAGTCACTGGCAGAGCGAGAAAGGCAGGGTGTGTCTTGAATGCCCGGCCCTCAGCACACGCTCCATGTCTTTCGTTGTGTTTTGGCTGTGCACCAGATGCCAAAGCGTCGTTGAACGTGGGAGGCTCGCACTGGAGGCGCGGAACAATGGAAGCTCTTCCTCGTCATTCTCATTCTGTCACTATAGTTGGCGCGGCCCATGGCCGACAAGTTCAAGTTTGGAAAGGCCTTGCCGCAGAACAATTGGACACAAGCGCCGTGTTGAAGTTTGGCGGGACGTTCAGACGTTCAAGTTTCGAATCAGGTCCAATGATTACGGCCGCAGGTCGTCCGAGAGTTGCGAGAATTCCATGCAAGGGCCCGTTTCGCACTTTCGTTTGCTTAGGACCGAGCTCTTACGACGACAGAAGAGCCACCTTACAGTGCTCCTGTAGAGAGCGGAGTGATGCCAAGCGTAGCGCCCCCACTCGGCGACTAGCGACGAATGCCAAAAAGGTTCCAACTCTTGCACGGTGGATGTATCATGTATAGAAGGAAGGGGGGGTTTCATACTATCTATGCCCTTCATCGTGTGAAAACTGTTTTCTATGTCGTAGGCAAGCACTCTAAAAGAATTTCATTCACTTCTTATAGCCTGAGCGAGCGAAGAAGTCTTGTTTTGAGCCCAAATTACTTTACGGTAGCAGACAACGCAGTGGGATCTGTGGCGAGTGGGGGGCATTTCTGCGGTTCTACCAGCTGTGCCGCCAACTTTTCGTGGAGTCTCTACTGTTGAGATTAACCAAAGGAAACCGTGGCGGAAGTACCAAGGGAGGTTCATTCGCAATGGCGGCGATTCTTTTTATTAGCGCATGTTTTTTACTCTTCATTTCTTATAGAATCGTTAGGTGCTGGCGAGTGGATTAGGTTATTTGGTAATAATGGCACAAATTGTCAGAGTACCTTCCTAGTGCTCTTAGTGCTTTATTTCCTACGGGACACCAAATTATTTTTTACTTGCAATTCAAAGTGAGAAGTTGGTGAAGGTAATGTCCTAACATCGTTGACATTGGTCATGACAGTAATGACCGTCCTGCCCTCGCTGAATATCGACAAGATGGACTGTACAAAACATACCGAAGGCACAACATTTCGCGCTAGCTTGTGTCTGCTGCCGTCGTTCCGGCATCCAGAGAACTGATCTTCGGCAAAATGACCCCACGAATATTACAGTTTGTGTTCATTCGGTTCTTCAAACTGTTGCATTAATTATCGCAATAATATACACTGCCGAGTACAAAAGATGGGAGTGAAGACCTTTTTACTGATTCGCGACAGCGACAAATGTCGTCATTTGCGGTTTTCCTCGCCCTCCAGGTTAAGAAAAAGCTTTTCTCCAGCCTCGTGCCAATTATTACATTTGAAAGTGCAACGCCCTGGCATCTGGGTCCCTTTCAAATGCTCGAAATATCACGAAAACAACGACCTCCGATACCATGCCAATGCTCCCGCCGCAGAGACTAAAACATTTTGCAAAAGCGCAGACAGATTTTGCCCACACGATTGCCGTGAGCTGGTAGTGAGCGTGGATTGTTGGCGAACTCGACACATCAAGCAATGGTACTACTCTGCTCCGTGCAGGAGCATTATACAGTGGTGCTAGACGAGAAAACATGCTGGCACCATCTACGAGGTCACCTTGGAACGTCATTTCACTAGAGGGAAGGTTTTGTGGTATGAGCGAGATCAAATGTTTCTACTACATATGATAAGAAACAGTTGTTTAACATTGTCAAAAGATTTTGATTTTAGAGCAAAAGAAACTGGAAAATATAAGGCAACTGTGAGTGTTCCACGGCCACCTGTGAGACGCCGCCGGTGTATTCTCGCATCGTAAGAGATTTTGAGATGGTTCAAAGGCACACGGTCTTAAGCAGTTGCTAGTGTATTAATTAGTCTTAAGATGGCGCCACCCGTTCGACGAGAAACTTCATTGCCCGACGGGCATATGCTTGGCAGCGATGCCGCCCCAGAAGGAGGCAAGGAGGCCCCCGTGGACGCGGCCATGTTGCTTCTCCAAGGGAAGCGGCACCTGCTGGTGCAGGACTTCCCGAGCGCCGTGGCCAGCCTGCAGGAGGCATGCCAGCTCCTGGGAGTGCTGTACGGCGAGACGGCGCCGCAGTGCGGGGAAGCCTACCTCTGTTACGGCAAGGCCCTGCTTGAGCTTGCCAGGCAGGAGACCGGAGTGCTGGGGAATGCCCTGGGTGAGGAGATTGTTTATTCATTAAAGCCGAAGGCGCGTTATTTGTGTTTTCTGCGAGAAAATTGTCGCGAACTAGCGTTACGTGTGACGTCACGAGACCAGTGGTATGCTGAGTCAGTTTTCACCTAAATTTGGAATGAAAATTGACGTCACGTGACCCGTATACTGCCAGTTTTCCGCGAAATTTAGCAGAGAAATTTACTTCACACAACCTTCAGTTTCCCAACTAAATTTGGTAGGGAAATGAATGTCACGCAACCTGCATACCTTTATTTTCCCCTTCTAAATCTGCAAAATAAAATTTAAAAAGTGTGTGCGGTCTGTGCGGGACACATGTGTGCAACCTTGGTCTTTGTGAGCATAATCATCTTGCATAAGTTTTATTCATATATTTCTTTATTCAATACCTTTTGAATCTTTATTGTAGGGGGGTGCACGTAATAGAAAAAAGATATGTGAACATAATTGCGCGGGAAGCATCAAACAGCCTGTCGTTCCTCCGTTTTGGTTGGACACAGTAGCAAAACATCGTCTCCTGCGCTCTTCTTGGGAAGATGCGGGCAACGCCGGTAATGGGGTAACGATGCGATGCCTACTTCACATTTCGGATCGACGCATTTAGCGTCTTAAAGGTCACATGCAAAGAAAGAAATATGTTTTTTAAACAGCTTAGATGGAAAAACAAATGTCATAAATCAATTTTACAACGAAGAAAAAAAAATTTTAGAGCTATATTTACAGCGCTATACGAATTTGTAGTTGGCGCCCACGGGCGCCGCGGAAAAGTGGCCCTTTTTTATCACGTGACTGGCCCTTATTTATCACGTGGTGCTTGCGCTCTTTCGGAAGCTTCCTATGGCCTCTAAAAGTAACTTATTGATCTTTGTTTGAAGTATAACAAAAAACTAAGATGAATAAGTAACTTTTAGAGCCCAAAGGAAACTCCTGAAAAAGCGTAAGCAGATGTGATAGACCTGTGCGCCGGTCAGATGACGGTGGCGGCACTCCGAAGCAGACGAACTTGAGCGACGGCGGCGTGGAGAAACACATTGAAGCGGCGTTGCACAACGCTTGGCATGCGGCGGCGGCGTGACTTTGCGGCGTCGACGAGGCAGCGTGGCGGCGTGCGGGCCTACCACGTGACCAGCGGCGGCTTCCGTGGGTGCAAACTACAAATTCGTTTTGTGTCGTAAATATAGCTGTAAATTTTTTTTTTCTTCGTTGTAAATTCGTTTTTTAATATTTTTCCATCTAGCCTGTTTAAAAAAAAATTGTTTTTTTTCGTTTGCATGTGTTCTTTAAGCGCGAAACACATGCGCGTCGAAACTGTCCGATCCGATGTGCGAACTGCCGGTACGACGTTCGGAGGCGAGGGTTCTCGATGCTCTCCGGTGCTACGAAAACCCTCGCCCCCGAACGTCGTTCCTGCTGTTCGCAGGTCAGATCGGACAGTTTTGACGTGCAGTTGTTTTGCGCTTTATGCCGCCTTTGCGTCAAAGTGGTCCGAGTGGTCTCGAAGCGGCTACGAACGACAACGTGGAAGCTGGCGTGGTACGCCGTCGGATGTCATGATTGCGGCGTTTGGTCGTAGAAGGTCCGACACTGTGTACGAGCGAAGGCGAGTGTCATTGTCTCCTCAGTGTCCCAACTCACGGCTGCCGCAGCTTCCGCGAAGTGTCGGGCTGGAGAGCGACCTGCAGCAGTATATGCGTCTGCTGCTTTCGTGGCACTCTTACAACGTCATTGGGCTGAAATTAAGGGACCACTTTCGAGGACGTGGTCCGAGACACGCTTCAAGCACCACGGAGCTCCTGGCACTGGCAACAAGAGCCGAGTGGAAGAAGCGCCAATGTGGGCAGAAACGCTTCCCAAAGGGAGAGTTCCCAGTGTCTGCGGATGTGGCACTCCTGCAAAGTGCAACTCGGACATCTGGATGTATGGGAACACAAGTGTGCATTCTATGGCGTTGGGTATGGAGGTCGTCCGCAGCCTCGGTCAGAATCGAAAGATTTTTGCAAGGCTTTGGACGGCATCTCCGCCGAGGCTGTGCATGGTTTATTGCCACGCGCCTCATGCCGGTATTTCTCTGCTCTTCTCCCAAGATTCGGAGGAGGAAGAGGAAGAAGAGGACGACGAGGAAGCAGAAGAGGGGGAGGGAGAAGGAAGTGGAGGGGAGGCAGCAGGTGAGACGGACATTTTTGTACACTAACGAGCCCTCACTGCATTTGATCGATCGAAGCCCATCCTGTTATTAGAAAGGGAGCGCATGTCTCCGACGATTTGCCAGCACAAGCCGTTAAAAGGACAATGACGAGGCATTTTTGTGTATCTGAAGTTTAATGAAGCTGCAACTCGTAAGGGCCCAGTAATAAAAATGTCGCTGCGGCTTGAAATCCGGCCATTTCCCGGAAGAAAATAGCCGTTCGAGATACGACCGGCTATTTTCCGCAAGAAGATGGCCGCTCAAGTTCTAACCCCTTGGCGCTTCCCTTGATCTTTTACTCTGTCATGTCGTGTGGCAACGGCACGGAACTTGGAATGTTTGAGAAGCGACATGCTGTGTTGGGCACATCTTTATTAGCAAAAATAATATAATCTATAAGACAAATCTGTACGAACACCAAAACCCCGAAAACGCGTTGATAGAATGAAACCCTACACGCACAGTCGTGGGAATCGTAGTAGTTCAAGCAATTTCCCGAGACGTCCGTCATGACAATTCTCCGTGCCGGTTTTCGGTTTAATTTTGTACTTTTTTCGTAGCAAATGTGACTCTGCAGTAAAAACATTGTTGGGTCGTGTCTCGAGAATCAGTATCCTTTGGCAAAGAAAAACTATTGTTAATGTTGGCGGGGGAAAACGGGACTGACAGCACAAAACCCCAAACGCAGCTGTGTTTGGAGCTTTCTGTTGTCCGTCCCATTCTCTCTTGCCTGTCTTGGGTTACCATGTGAGTATTGAACCAGCTTGATTGCACTCTTGCTTAATGGCCCGTTCACACTCTTGCGACTGCTTGCGACCTCTTAAACCTGGGTTCCTTAAAACTTCTTAAACCAGAGAACACACTGGCCCCATCTATTGGGAAACAGTATAAACTCGGCGGTCCGGCATATTTTTTTTTTTATTTCTCGCGCAATATCCTTTCTTTTTTGGCTCGAAAAGCTTTTGTCAATGTTATAAACGAGCCTTTCTATGGGTATTACGCACATTTGACCTCGGAAATCCCGCAAAACTTTCGCTTTTGTGAAATGCAGTTCTAGGGTCACCGCATAGATGGCGCCACAATGTCAGTGTGTTCCCTCATTCTAGAAACATTTAAGAAGTTGTAAGAAATCTCGTCTCTCTCAGTCGTACTCGGTCGCAAGAGTGTGAACGGGCCTTTAGTTTCAACCATCAATGTCTCGCTCTATCAGTGTACCTTTCGAGGCCAACCTAACTGGAAAGTCTTCCATTCCCGTTTCCAATTGCAATCTATAGTCACTGACCTGATGAGAAGATTAGGGAGGAGTTTCGGTTTTCCCACCTCCAGGACGAGATTACAATAACAGAAAGGAGATTACAAGACAGGTGGGATTTATCTAGGGAGAATTATATGACGCACATCTACCTAGCTTAACTGGGGACAGAGGAGAATTGGCGACTCCCTTGCCGGGGGAGACGGGGAGTGATGTTGAAGGTCTTCCTGGTGATATCTGACACCGCCCTGTGATAGTTACGAAATTGCAGAGGGGAAAATCGACTTAGAAGGGCGAAGGGAGGAACCATACTTTTGGTCTTTAGTTTCTAGTCTAGGTGGCACAAGCTACCGCCCGTTGTGAAGGGCACAGCTGTTAGCATCCATCCAGCCGAGCATTCGAAAGATCTGCCCTGCTGTTCTCACCTTGTCAGCGAATATACTTGTTTAAAAAAAAACATTCCCTATACTCCGTTCTTCCTTAAGTTGATACTAGACGCTCAGCCTTCAGCACGAACGTTCTGCCCTTACTAACACAAGTGTGAACGTGCAGGCATGCGCAACCAAAGCACTGCGGAAGCCAGCAAGTTTGCGCCAAAGGCAAAGCTTCTGGTCTCAGCTTAAGGGTGAATGGAGTTTAGGCCTCCACTGTGTTGCTAATGATGATGATGCTACTGGTGTGACTCTTGCAGCCCCCAGTGGCTAGAAATTGTCTGCCACTCTTTTGGACGTTAGAAACCTGCTCAGCTCGATTCTCCACCTGTGTTTTGCGGTTTTGCATTTGGAGTTTTTCGACTGTTCTTGGAAGTTTCCGCGCACCCTTTTTGCGTTTCTGCTCAGCAATCACAGCAGACGAAGGAAGAAAAGAACGTCAAACAACCCTTGATGCGATTTTGCGAACAATGACAGCTGTTCTGCCCCGAAATAATCCCAGAGAGTGTATCTTTGCGAAAGATAGCCTTTCTGGTTGGAGTTGAGGACATATCAGTCATGTCTGTTTCTTTGCCTTGGTGACGGTACTGCGAAAAAAGGAAGCTCTCCCCCAAGCGTGCCCCAAAACGACGTCCTTTCGGTTCTTGTCCGATCATCAGGAAGTGATTGTGTCAACACGGTTGACTATTGTTGTGGTTTTCGAGACATTTCTAAAATGAACCCTTTGCCGTTGGGCTATCGTAAATGATTTTCAACGGCTAAGTGCTTTGTCATTTGATACGACTGAGCGGGCGGCGCCTCGTAAAATAAAATAAAACAAACATTCTAATCGCAGTCCTTTTGTTGCACACACACTGAACAAAAATAGCTTAAAGCTCTTTGTCTTTTTAATTTCAAATATGGTACAGTGCATTCTAAGTGTCATCGAGAGAGTATATACTCCATGAAACGCAAAAACAACAGGACAATGCGAGCATTTACCTGCCAGCTGTGACTGAAAGTGTGCCTACGTACGCTACGCCTGTCGAAATCAACAGTCCACTCGGGTAAGGTTAGCAGGGACGCCGTTGCCAAGGCAGCCCCAAACCCAGTGAGTGTGCTTGAAAAAGGTTCTCTTGACCCTGGGGCTGAGTGTTTTAATGCGAAAGCATCAACTGTCCTGTGGAACGAGCTGACGTCATCAGTTTGAAGCGCGAAAACGGCACCTAGTTTCCCCGATCCCAATAGGAGTAGAGCTGACGGATTTCGCCTTCGGTTTCATTGACTGGCGTGCGTCAACGGGGCTCTTATTGGCCGCTGTGCTCATCAGTTTCGACGACTGCTCACCCCATGGCGCTGCATGCCCATCAGCGCGCCGTTAACACGGAACGTCCAAGGTCAGCGTGCCCAGGGGAGCACACGCGCTGACTAGCGAGGAAAAGTATGCAGCGGACGAGCGGCTTTGCATGCTCTTGCATTCACAACTCGTAAAAAGTGCCTAGGCATACCTCGAGTTTTCTTTTTTTTTGAAAGGTGTATAGTCGCAGTCACATGGCGTTTTTACGCGAGCGGAGCTATGTGATTGGCAGATGACACTGCGGCTGTCTGCTATTGGCTGCACTCGGCCACGTGACAAGTTTGCTTCTTGCTTCCCATTGGCCGGCACGTGCCTCCCCACAGGAGGCGGCTCCGAAGGTAGCGAGAACAAAGCGGAGGTCCCCAAGTCCGACGCAGCCACGAAAGAGAAGGAAAAGACGGCTGAGGTTTCTTCTAGTGTCGAGGGCTCTGGGGGCGAGGGTAGCTCCTCGGTGGCAGAGGTGATGGAAACTAGGGAGGTGAAGGGAGGTGAGGAACAAAGTCTCATGCACCTGTCTCATCTTCTTCTCCACTTCTCTCTCTCTCTCTTGTGGCTCCTTTCCACCTCCGTTTCGAATAAACGAGCAACGCGAAATGCAAGCCCTTGGAAGGTCGAAAGTTGCAAGCAGCGACGTCTGTCGTTTGTAACCGATATTTTGTCTTTATTATGTTGCTCTTTGGATCGGCGGGGTGTTCTCTCGACACTCCGGTCAGGAATCGTGCTCTGAACGGTGGATTTCGTCGGCTGGAAGTAACTTTGAACATAGAAAGTGCACGCGGCAACCCTAATAAGGAACTCTGCGTCCAAAACTATATGTTTCAAGCTGAAAGAGAGATCGTCTGTATTTATCCTCGTTTTTCATATAAGTATTTCATCGGTGGGCTGTGCAAAAGCAACCTGTAGTAAAATTTGGAGCATTCTGATTAGATAGAGCAGGAAATTCTTTTTAGGGTATCGTGGAACGCTGCCACTATTTAGGGGCGATGCAACAATTTTGTACTTCGCGCAAATACCACTTAAAACGAATCCCCAATGTTGTTGGACCTATGATACACGCAATCGTTTTTCACATCAAGCAGAAGAAGTTGAAGAAGAAAAAAAGAAAAACAGCGTTCACCCCCTTAACTTGCAGCCAGAACAGAAGCAACGGGATCTGGAGCCGGTTACATGTCGACATGTTAATCATAGCTACGCGCTGGTGTAGGCAAAGCACATGGCACACGCTGAGTTTTAGACATCGTTATGGTTCGGCTCTTGTCATCATTGCAGCGATTGGACACGAGCCACTACCTGAACGCTTGTCAAGCCGTTGATCATCGAGAGCCCAAATAGAGTGCACACACAATGCTCGGGTGCAATCTATGAACCGCATTCAGATATCGTTACTGGGAGATACTGCGATCCCCCAGCTCCATCATCTAGTTTTGCGCAGGAGAGATCGAAAGAAAACGCTCGCTTTTGTCCTTGAAATGGCACCGTAACAAAGGAGTTTCATGGTCAGTGGCGTTGCGTGCGAGTGTACTTGGGTCCCACTAGTGTCACTAAACTCGAGTAAAGTGAAAAACATTTCAAGCGAATATCGTTGCACAGCCCCTTTAAGAAGTCGTAGCAGCGATGAAACACAAGAAGGTCTCAAACTTAAGCCTCGGATACATGGATGCGATTGTAGTGCATCGAATTGATATATAACGATTGTGATTACGGAGAAGAGGAAGACGCAGGGTACTGGGTGCGTTCGATTGGTTCCCTCTCAGTTCGATGCGCTACTGTCGCATCCATGTAAACTTGGCCTTAATTGCGACCAGCTCAGCAAGGAAACTGGCTGCATCTCTCAGTCGTGTGCTCTGTCCTTTACACCGTTGTCCTTCCCTGGTGTCTTCTCTTTTTCGTCCTAACCGCTTCAGAAGTCTTTGGAATTTTCTTGTCAATCTACCGTCGAATCTTTTCGGTTTTTGCACGTAACCTGTTGCTTGCAAACTGACTTTGCATGCGCGACGTTCTACACGGTCGCAACTAACCTCGAGAGACGAAGTCTTTAGCATTTTATCGGCGATCAGCTACGCCTCTTGGAAGATCCTTCTTAGGTATTTATGTACGAGCAGTGAGAAATGAGGTGTCTTTGGCACAAAGCGAGGACAGTGTTTCGGACTAGCAGGGTGTGGCTTTTGCAATGGTGTGCTCGTGCATTTTCTTCATCAGAGGGGGAGGGTCCCGCTGAAGCCGAGAAGGAGGAAGATGCTGAAGAGGACCTTGAGAAGCCGGAGCCAGCGCTGAAGGAGGACATTGAACCAAGCGAGCCCTGCCAGCCAGGGACATCTTCTGGCACATCTGCACCTGCACCCAAGGAGGAGGTAGGACCTTAATGTAAAAAAGGTGTAAGATAAGATAAACGAGTTAACACACCTAAGATGTAAGGCAGAGCAATATAAAAGAAGATATAAGATAAACAAAATAGATAAGAACCAGGAGTTTCAAAATAGATTAGGCAGAGGCTTTTCTTACTTACACAAAGAATAGCATCGCCACTGCGCATGCGCCGAATGCTAACTGTGGTTTGCACTTTGCGTGCGCTATTTTAGCGTATGTTATTTTTTGGAAATTGCACGCGTACGCAAAGAGTTTTTGCGCTCCTCCAAGGAGGATTTGTGATGAGAAATTGGCTAAAGCCAAGACGAGCACAGTTAAAAAATGGCAACTCCCATGATAGCAACTGCGGCCACTTTGCTGGCGTCGTCAGCGGCATCCTCGCGACTGTGGTTTTCAACACAGGATGACATTGCGCTCCTACGGGAAAACCTATAGCATAGCGTGTGCTAACGCAAGCACTAAATTTAGTGAAAAAATGGTTAAAGTGGAGGCGAGCTGGTGTAAGTTATACATGATGATTGAAAACCTGAGACTGTGGTTTGAAAAACAGAAAATCGTGAAGTAGAAAGAAAAAGGGACAGACAACGTCTCAAACGTTGTCTGTCCCTTTTCTTTCTACTTCATGATTTTCTGAATCGTGAAGTAGAAAGACAACGTCTGAGTGACTAACTCTTGCTTTTGTTGCCGTGTTTGACAGGAGGAGGAAGTCTCGAATCTCCAGCTGGCCTGGGAAGTGCTGGAACTGGCAAAGATCATCTTCGAAGGGTACTGGCATTTTTGTAACTTTTACTGGCATGCCCAGACATCACCGTAGGCAACCACTTAAACCAGAACTGATGCAGACGAGGCCTCTTGAGACGCCCTTTTGTGCGTTGTCCTTCATTCATCACTTTAATCTGGCAGTTGAAGCGACGAATAGCTGGTTTATACATACGTAGCTGCAGGCACGCGCCCATAACCCCTGTCAAGTTTTCTCGTTCACGCAACCAAGTAGCTTTCTAGAGCGACATGCTAATGCTCCGCTACAACCACAAGGCGGAACAGAGATTAGGAAGCTCTGACCTTGAGCTTGTAGCCTTCTCTGAATCTGTCGCAAGACTGTTTGATACCAGAAGGGCCAGGCTCGTCTTTGTCTAAAAAAGACACCAAACTCGGAAATATTTTGAGATATCAGAACAGGACAGATATGTCTTCATGTACACTAATGCACCCCCCCTCCCCCTCTAAAAAGAAAAAAAAAACAAAAAAAAAAAAAAACTCTGATCATGAATTGTGGTTTTATTTGGAGTCAACATCTCGAAATAGAAGCACGTTTAGAAAATGCTCCCGATTCAAAATGTGTCTCGTGACATAAATATTGTACTAAGAATTTTCTTTGTTTCGGGGAGAGTTTGTTGCGATGTATGTTGCCCGTCCAGGTGCCTAGTAAAATATGTTTCTTGCGAGTTGGATGTCCTTTTAAAGGCTTATAAGATTACCAGGGTGCCGGCTAACTGGCACTTCACCCCTTGCCCCGCTCCTGTTTGTCCGAGAAAGGAAGCGACGTAACGGCGGGCGTGGCGGCGCAGGCAGGCAAAGAAGGGGAGCCGGGAGGCACAGCTCAAGGTTGCCGACGTGCTGCTCAAGCTGGGCGAGATCAGTCTGGAATCGGACAACTGCGGGCAGGCAGTGGAGGACCTGGGCAAGTGCCTGTGCATCCAGCAGGAGCTGCTGGACGCCGACAGTCGCCAGCTGGCCGAGACCCACTACCAGCGGGGCCTGGCACACTCCTTTGCGGGGCACTACCACGAGGCCGCAGACGACTTCCGCGCGGCTCTCGGCGCACTGGAGCTCCGCGTGGACAACCTCACCAAGTGAGCGAGAGCGTGCCTACAGCGGCTTAAAGGGGGTAGTGTAACGAACGAAACCGGAGAAGCGGCACGGCTTTGGAAGACGGCCACGGGTGGCGCTGGCGCTTGCAGCACCGTCGTTCCGGCTATGGCTCCGGCTTGGCCGCTTGGTCAGCTTGGCTCCAGCCAGCTCCGGCCGACTCGCAGCTGTCGACTACACTGTGGTCTGCTAGTTTCACATTTTTTATTCACCTTCAAACACAAATCATGTCGTTGGAGGTTCACGGAAACAAATAATTGTTTTTGATGTATTTATATTAGTTACGAAGCGTGTTAGGGTGCCTCTATCTGCCGGCCGATTGAGGCACCCATCGGAGCTGCGGATCGAAGCGCCACCGACATCGTCTTCCAAGGAGCTGCCGTTCCCGATGCATGGTGGAGGCTATGCGATAACTACACTACCCCCTTGAAGCCACTGTAGCGTGACTTTAACTGCGACGTCTGCAGGTGCTTATAACTACTAGGGATGCTGCGAACTTCCCAAAGTTCGAGTTCGAAATGTTGAAATGTTCGAACCTCGCTAAGGTTTGAATTTTAGAAGTTTGCATCTTGAGAACCCCACTGAGGTTCGAATTCAAACAATTAGAAAATTTTAAGGTTTCCCAAAGTCCGAGTTTAAAGATATTGAATGATTTTACAGATGGTTCAAAATATTCTAACATTTCCAATTTTTTTTCGAGGTACAAGTTCGAAAGGTTCGATATTAAGTTCCAAAACTGAATTTCACGAATGAAAATCAAATTCTGCAGTTTCACACTAAGTTTTTATTTATTTATCTAGAGAGATAGTGAAATGTGCTATAAATTTTACTAAAAAGTTTGTCCAGACTATTCTGAAAATACACGAGCTCACTAGCGCCCTCACATTGTGTTCGTTAACACTCCACTCCTTCTTTCTCAGTACTGTGGTTCTAACGGTACTACCTGTATTACTCATTAATTGTCATGACTTATGAAACAAGTGTTGAACTGATTGAACGGTTCATCGAAAAGCCCCGAAGCGGTCGGGTGAACATACTTCCTACTTATTTGCGAACTAGCAGCAATCCAATCAGACGTCACCTAAATGCGGTGCTGGCATAAGACAACTAAATATGCGGTACAATCCAGTCACATAAAGACATCCAGGCTTCTCGAAATTTTTTAGTTGCTCCGGGCATTCATTTTCGGCAAGATGACCCGTGGGATGGAGAAACACTGAACACAGGCACAGCACCCGACACAAGTCAGTGTTGAGGAGAATGCTACCCGACTAAATTAGGGAACCACTCGGCCTAATACGACTGATCAGGTCACGACCGGTTGTTATCGGGCTAACCGTGTTGTCGCTGCCTGGAACTTTTCTTCTTCGACGAATGGAGGTATTGGCCGCTCTGAAATGCAGCTGGTTACTAATGATAATGAAGTAAGCGCCGATTCAGCGTTCGCTGTGGCGCATCGGTGTCGCTCTCCGCGCGCCTTTCCTTGACGTGAGGAAATCGAGGGACCTGCGTTCAAGAGCAACTAATGCTACAGAAGATGCTCTCAGCGAATTGCCCTATTTAAATTTCGAGCCTGCAGATCAGGGATTTGTTGGCCTACAGGTTACCTGGAGGCATTTTACGGAGTTGTGTGCAGGAGAGGCTTTGGGGGGAGGTCGAAAGAAAAAAGGTGCGGGGTACGAGGCCACCCCAAGGCAAATTGCGGCTTCCCGTTCGCGTAAGATTTTGGCAGTGCTCGTATTTAGTTTCCGTAAATCAATGTCAGTCATTTATCTTGGTTTGACTTATTCGCACACTTCCGTTCGCTTAGGGCCGAGTTCTTGCGATCTCTTACAATGGCAGGACACGCTGCTGCTATATATGAGCTGACCCTGGAAGTACATTTCACTAGAGCGAAGGTTTTGCAAATATTTTCGAGATCAAATGTATTATCTATGAGGAATTGTCGTTTATGACGTTCTCAGAAGTATTTTGAGCCGAGAATGAAAGAATGATACGCACAATAAATAAGAAATGTATGTAAACTGCAAGTGTTCCATGTATGAAGTTTAAAGGCACATGGTCCTAAGCGGTTTCAAGTGTGTGAATTAGTCTTATAAGATGGCGCCACCAATTCAATCCCTGTTTCACACCCCTATGCAGGCTGATAGAAGAAGGCAAGGGGAAGGAGAGGACAGGGAGCCTGGACGACGACCCCATCTGGAGGGCGGAGCGGGAAGTAGAAGACCTCAAGGGCCTCTTGCCTGAAGTGAGGGCCAAGATGGAGGACACACAGGACATGTTGCGGCAAGACTGCAAGGCCCTCAAGGACGCCACCATCCAGAAGATGATGGACCGCGTACCCGTAAGCACTCCGCGGCATTTCTTCGGGACGTCCACCAGACCTTGCGAGTGTCGGGGAAAGTTTGCAGAAAAAAGTTCCCTGCTCGCTTTCCTTTGTGTGCGTCATAAGCGAAGGAACTTGTCTTCAACTGACTGACTGACATTCACCGGTTGGGAGTTGTAGATGCGGAGTGTCAGAAATCTAGTGGCTGGCTCCAAAATTGTCTGGAAATATTGGCGTCTGCTCGTAACAATCTCAAATTTTAATTGAAGGTTTATTTTAGTGGCGCATTTTACCTCGCAAAATTTCGTGGGGTAGATTTCTTTGTGCGAAAAATTTGACCAACAAACCCCCTCGGGTCAACGGCGGACGTTGATGCAGACAACGGGTCAAGCAAGAATTGGGTTTGTGGCGCCATCTCCTGAAAGGCGCCAGCAAACAGACGACACACTTGTTTGGCAGCGGACGACCCGGTTGACTGTTTACTGCCCCTATCGACAGATGGCACCACAAGCCCCATTTCAGAGCAGCCTTGGGATTTCTGACACCCGCTTGACGATTTTAATTACGTGTTTTCATACCTACTTCAACGGCTTCGTCTTTAGACTGCCAGGCGCTGTCCGATTCGCTCAAGAAGGCTGACGAGTGAACATGCCCCGTCGCAGCTCTCTGTTCCAGCCGCTAGACGGCGTTGATTTCGTTGGAGTCGCCAATATATTGCCTTGCTCGTTTTTACCTCAAGAACCGTAGTAAAAGAAGTCTGGCTCCTCGCAGAGCATTACTATCTTCCCTGTTTATGTAGATTATTAAGAGACATGTAGGTGCTTTTTATATTAGATATGTTATCTTATCCAGACTTACCCACTTCAAATGCCAAAAGCATTGCTTCTTCCTTTAACAACCAAATCTTCTAAGAACTACTTCGCTTGGCGTAGGAACAATGCGCAAAACTTCTTCTTTTATTGAGGTGAAATTTAGCATTTAATCTAAAGTTTTGAAAGAACGCCCACTTAAAATGAAGAAATAAATGGTGAAAAACATGCGACGGGCTATCTTGGGTGATGCCACAGCAAAACTTTGTCAAAAATGAATGATAAACACTGGGGCACCTGCTACAAAGCACGTGACGGGGGAACTGATACTCTAAATCGCGGACACCGCAAATTCGCGTTTCACGGTGGGATAAACAGCGGGACCCGCTACAAACTTTCCTGTTATAGGAACCGAAAATTGCACGTGCAGGTCGCGGCGACGTGCAGGTCGCGGACGCGGGAATCTACTAAAAATTCGTATGTCACGGAAACGAGTACTGCAGATCGCGAATGCAGCAGAATCATATTTCACGATGCAAAATACACGCGGGAACAACTCGCGTGTTACTGGAGCCGATATTGCGCACGGAGGTCACGAACAAAAACGCGAGAACCTGCTATGAACTCGCTTATCAGACGTACCGTTACAGCGGATCATGCGGCGGATGCGATTCACGTCGGACATCGCGGGACGTCCGATGAGAATCGGAGGGGTGGGCGGTGTTTCGGAATTTTTAAGTTACAGATATTTTGCCACAAAAACGAGATGGGCAATCTCTCGGGACTTTACGGTAGCTGCTCCGGGTGGGATTGATGCGAGAAAGATGGACTGTCCGCAGCTTGTGATTTTGTCCTTTCTTTCTTCTTCAAAGCCTGCGTCGCCAGTAAAGAATGCTGCTTCGGGATCTGTGAGTACAGCTTTGTCTATTTTTTACCTTACTTTTCGAGAAAGGGTTGGGAGTGGTGCATGTGCAATGCAGATCCTGTAAAGCATTTGTTTAACGTACAAGTGTGTAAGCTTACAAATGGGCCCGTTCGGGGCAGTGTGGTGATTTTCGCATCAAAATTTTTGCTCGGTTTTGCCGGGATGAAAATCTTAGATGAAATGGTGCTCAAAACTATTGAACAAGGGAAAATAACATACCAATCGATCGAAATTTAGAAATTAGTCTCTTAACAAACAATTTAATGAAGAGGTGCATACCTCCTTATGAAGGTATGCCAAATAACTTATTTATCGTGCTAAAGTGTCAAGCGAGCGCTTCACACTCAAAATTCCAAGTAATCTTTTACCGTTTTCTTTTTTAATCGGCGTAGAAACAATTTCTATACTATCATGCTACTCGTGATCTCAGGAATTGCGACTACTGAATTCCTGCGAGCTGTATCCCACCTTTGTGCAAAGTTCAGCATTGGTTGTGCCGAACCGCCGGCTTTCACACACGAGCGACAAGTTGGGCAAGTCGGTGAACGTCAAAACTGGTGCCGAACTGCAAGCAAAACAAATATGGGAAGAAAGAAACTCCTCGAGCTCTTTTTCCACCCACAAAGCATCTCAGCTGCGAGTCAACGCTTCCGTGTTGCGCGCTCGTTTTCTTCGGCTCCGCTTTCGTGCGCACCATTTCCCAGCACGTTCGACCTTTGCGCAGTTTTTCTCGCTGCTCTTTGCCATACAATGTGTCGGTGCACGTCACAAACCGGTGCGCCTTCGTTTCGCCCTTCAGGAAGCGAGCCGTCCCGTGAACGTGATCACCCATCTGATCAAGCGCAAGGTGAGTCCGACGTCGTCTGCCGTCGCGGTACGCACGGCCGGTGGCTGCAAAGCCGCCGTCTGCATTGCAGCGGACGAGTGACGAGGCACCGGCCGGCGAGAGCTCGAGCGCCGCGACGAAAAAACCGAAGCCGGAAGTGACCGAAACGAATGGAGACAACCTAAGGTCATCGCCTATGGTAAAAGTTGGGCTCCCCCTCCCTTACGACCGTTTGTGTTAATGACCCTCCTTGTGTGGTTGAGCATTGAGGTTGCATGTTCTAGGGGCATTGTCTATGGCACGGGTTCTCAAACCGAATTCTCGGGAAACCCAGGAGTTTTCCCCAACTTCAAGAATTTCCTTTGCCGCTCCCACCCCAAAGCAAGATTTTCTTATTGTTTTTTTTTGGAAGGGGGGGGGGGGGGTTCTTGCTCTGCAGCGCAAATGTTGCGCCAAAACTAACCAAAACAGTTTTTTTTTTTTTAAGTTTTGTCAAAGCAGGTGACTTTTGTTTGGTGAAAACAGGCACCAAGTGGTTATTTTCATCTAACGAGCCTCGCAAGTTGTTTAAGTTGTTTAAGTCCTCCGTTTCGAACGCGAGGAAAAGTAAATGCTTTTATTGTTGTTTAAAAATATACCGTGTTTGGACAAATATAAACAACACGCCATAATAGTTCCGTTTATCTCCGCTCCCCGTACCAGTGCCTTCGGAGCACTTGTTTGGGCGCGTTGCTTTGTGCCGTTAGTGCCACAGCTCAGCCAACGACGTGTCTGATCACCGAAAGTGGGACATGCATTGTTGGGCTTTGTCAGAAGTATGAGACATCAGTTCATCGTTCACTTATTAATATTTGTGGCACAGAGCCACATGAATTCGAAATACCGCACGCATTAAATCGTGAACTCTCAAATGAACGCCCACCTCCGAGAAATCACCCATCTCGTTGTTTCGGGCTGAATATCCATAACATAAAAATTACGAAACATAGACCCCCCCTTCCCCGATTCCCTCTGGATATCGGTCGCGCAATGTTTGACAGGAATCAAATCAACCTTGCGATCTGCGATATCGGCATGTGCGACAACCCTGTTCGCTGCGGGTTCCCTCGTGCTCATCCGCCTATTGCGTTGTGACACGCGAATCTGTGATATCCGTTCCCGTGATATGCAAACTCCTAACTCATTCCCGCATTGTTTATTTTGTGTTTTTCTTTTTGGGGTGGGGCAAGGGGTTTTGTACTTTGCCCACGCAATATCAGTTCCCGTGACACTGAAGTAAGTAATGGGTTCTTGTGTGTATATCGCACTGTGAAGTGCGAATGCGCTGCTTCCGCATTCTGCTGCCGTACCCGTGTCAGGGGAGTTCATAGCGAATTCACGCTTAATTATCGCTCCTTGAAATGCGAATTCGCTGCGTGTGCAATTTGTGGTATTATTAATGAAAATAGAGAGTGCGCAGGCAAGCTGGTAATAGTTAATCACAATGTTTAAAACCCGAGACTGCGTAGAGGTGAAAAACAAATAGGAGACTTAGAAGTTGAAGAGTTCCTGCTTCACGTAAATTGTAGTGGCCCCCCCCCCCCCCTCCCCAGGTATCTATCACCAATTTTCTTATATGTGATTTCGCTATTGTGTCTCGGAACATGGCTTAACCCATGTTTTTCACCATTTATCTTTTCATTTTGTGTGGGTGTTTTCTGGTATATAAACGTACCTATAGGAGCTTGCTGGCATGTGTTCACCTATATCATCTAATCTCGGGAGAAAGCAATAACTACTCAACAAATTGAAATAAACATTTGGCTTCTTTTTTTTTTCTGTTTTAGGGTGTTTTCGTAAATGTAACGATAAAAGCGATAATTGGTCGCCTCAACTGTGAACGTCCTTGTAAATGACAAACGTGGCAAATACACTCGCTGGCACACAAGCAGCAGGCCGGCGGGAGGACGAGGAGGGCAGCGGGAATGTCCTACCGAGCGACGCAGTCTTTAAACCGTTGTGCTAGAACACAGGGGCGGATTCAGAGGGGGGGGTCCGGATGTCCTGACCCCCCTCTTGATTTCTGCTTGGGTACAATTTAGGGCGTGAAACGAGGGAGAGGGGGAGGGGGTTCCTAAACATATGGCACTCTGACCAACACCTGACCTCCCCCTCAGGAAATTCCTGCATCCGCCCCTGGAACGCATCCAAGCAATTGGCTTTTGGGGAAGACCTTCCGTTTTGCAGTCTTACTTGCTAATTTTGTCAGTCACTTTTTTTCTTTCTTTATCAAGCTTCTAAATAGTTTTGTTAATACACCTGAGACTGGGTGGGCAAATCTTTAGACAACCAAAAGTCATAACAATCCTGAACCGAAATTTGGAGCTCACAAAACAAGTCTGGAGCGATAGGCGGGACACTGCGGAACCCAAAAACATTAATCGTACAGCGATATCGCTAATGCAGTGGTTCTCAAATGGGGGTTCGCGGACGCCAAAGGGTCCGCGAAGGTATTTTAGGGGTCCACAAAGCCCTGCCTCATCAGCGAAACCCGGCAATAAAGATTGTATTTTTTCAGGTTGAGAAGAAATGTTCCAATTATCTGGCGAGTTTTCTCGTGTGTATGTCAATAAGGGAAGTCTTTTTCACACTAGCCCTTAGTTATATCCATTTATTAAATCATTATCATAATTAACCTATATTTTTCCCTTCCCCTTATCACAAACGGGGTCCTCCATCATCTCCGCCGACTGACAAGCGGTCTGCGAGACCTCAATGGTTGAGAACCACCGCTCTAACAGATGGCCGCATTTTTGGAATAGAAATGCGCGATTGAACAAGGCCGACGGGGCATGTGACGTCATCACGGTTCTCGTTCCCTCTCCTCGCTATGTCCCGTCGAGCTGGTGAACCGAAGCGAAGGGGGAGAGAAGCGAGGCCGCTTTCCCTCATCCTCAACTGTTCCAGGAAGGTTGTGACGTCGTAGTCCTTGCTCGATCGCGCCCTCCTTTTCCCCGAAATACGGCCTTCCGTCTGAGATAGCGATGTATGAGTGATGTTTTGGAGTTTGCATTGTCCCGTTCTATGCTTCTGTGACCTTGTTTTGCAAAATCCAAATTTCAGTTCTGTATTTCTTTAAACTTCCACCAGCTCGTCTTCGACCTCACCGTGTTTTCCTAAACAGTTTTTTTTTTATTATATTAGTCATGTTTGTTCTAGGAAGGGCTTAAAGGGGCCCTGCAAGGACTTTTTTACTGGTTTTTAACTTGCACCTAAACTGAGCGCACTGAGTGTAAAAACTTCATGAAACTTTTCTTTTCTCCAATTTCGCTTTAGTTTAGGCTAACTAAAATTACAAAAACAAGCAAAAAATAACCTCCTTCATGACGTCCTTGGTTGCTTGAGTGGCAGTGAAATAGACACCGCGTTGAAGCTTTCTCTCCGTTAAAAAACTATGATAATTTTTTCAGGGAGGCGAACTTCCGCAAAGAAAGGTTGCCTGTCTGTCAGGTCTCCGGGGTGGAGCAAATAATCCAGGCATAGGAATATTTGTCGTTTGCGAAGTGTGTCTCGCAAGTGCAAGACCGCGTCGACTGTAACATCCGCCTCGATATAAATAAGTACTCTTTTTCTTTATGGTTTCGCTAGCGCTTCAAAGTCAGGGTTATTCGGACAAAGATGAGGATGTAATATTGTTTAAATTGTTTTTTCGCGCACAGCTGCGCTGTCGCATACACTCCTTGAACTCAGGTCAGTTCTCAGAGTTAACGGCTGATGGAAGCATACCGCGCCTGTTCTAATTCATCCGAATGAAGTTAATGACAAGGCCACGTACAGCTTGATCGCAACACTGGGTCAAGTTCTAATAAAAATCCGAAACGGTACGTTGTAAAACACAAATAAAGAAAAAAAAAAAAAAATAAGGCTGCCGCTTTTATTTTGACCGAGTCAAAAAAAAAAAAAAAAATCCTTGCTGTATTTGCGCGCATCTGTCGCTGCCGTCAAAGCGGTAGAATCGTAATTCATGTACGTGCGTCAATAACCCACTTTTAATTTTATTAGTGAAGAAAGGGATCTCGAATCGACTTGCATTTGCGTTGTAAAGCGTCCCCTTTTTTAAACTTCTTTTTATGTGACCGCAAAATGATAATTTTGAACACTGTACCGGTTCACAACTAATACAAAAATTTGCGTCACTATTTGTTTTGTTTGCTGTCTAGGTACAATTAAACTTGATATATGTTGAGTCTGTGTGCTAGGAGAGAATCGTCAATATTCCTTCACTCTCTCTCTGTAAGAAAAGATTATTTAATTTTGAATTTCAGTCATGAATGTTTAGTTATTGGCCTGTGTTACGTGCCCTGTCCTCGTCTTCTTAATGGTGCTTTCAATTTATACATCTAACATTGCCAGCACACTCTTATTGGTTGACCGAGGAATGTCCGGGTTTGATGTTTTAGAGTTCCTTGGAAAGTAATTATGCCTGTTGTAAGTTAACTACATCATTTTAAAAATATAAGAAAAGAACTAGAGTACAAATCTCTTTTCAACTATGCGCTCAAGTCAGTGCGCAATACGGGTTATAACTGCCTGCGATGATTTGCCCTCATGTCTTTCGCTGCTTACTCGCCTTCTCTTATAAGCATCAGGGAACAAAATTAATAAAAATTACTGTAAAGCGCAGGCGAGCTGGTGTGTATATTAACAAGTTGGATGCATTGCCCGAAACTGTGGCGAAAAAATTAAAAATATCAACCGTGTATGAGAGATAACCTTTCTGTCCACGGTTGATGTTTCTAGTTTTCTCCGACCCAGTCTCCACTAATTTATCAAAATGAAAAATTGGCAAGTAAGCAAAGTGAGCTGGGTTCTCAAATTTAAACTTGTTTAAAAAATAGTAACTGCATAATCGGGTTAATTTTTTCGACACCCACGGGGAACCATTCTAGCTATTGCATTAGGTACATATCTAACATTGCCAACACGCACAAATTGGTCGGCCCAGGGATATTCTACTGTATAATTTTGTGAAGCGCTTAGGAAGTAATTATACCTGCTGTGGGCTAACTACATCATTTTAATAATACATAGAAAAACTGGAATACAACCGTCAATTTCTTTTCAATTATGCGTTCAAGGCAGTACGCAATAGGGGCTACGATTATCTGCCTAATTTTTCCCCAAGTCTCTTGCCGCTTACCCGCTTTCATTTTAACATCA